GCGAAACCAGCGTCCGCAGAAGACTTCAGCAGAGGAACTCTCCAGCGATGAGGGTTCAGCAGGGCGCTTTGGTGAATGGAGACCCTTCGGAGAGCTTCCTGCTCAGCCTTCCCAGAGTCCTCCCTTACTCACAGCCTCTGGCTCTTCACACGTCAGCTGCCACGCACTCACAGAAACCCCAGCGCATCACAGTTTAAGAGAAAACGAACCAAGTCCATCAAATCCCACTCAGCTGCAGTCTGAAGACCATCTCCCAACATTCACAAGCCAAAGGCCGCTCGAGCTGCTGACCACGCTGGGCGAACGGGCTTCATCTGATCCCCCGAATGTCAATAGCATGCCTGAAGGTGACCACAGGTGTGTATGGAGCTGATAACTGACAAGCAAACGTGCAGAAAACCCAGAATCTGTGCAAGCTCACACTGCTCTGAGAGCTCCCAGAGTGTATGACTGGCAGTTAGTCAAGAGCTGAACTGAGGCCCAGTATGAAATAAGAAGGATATTTCTGAAGTGTGAATCATGCACAGTTAAATAACTAAAAGCATGCAGCAGGAAATGAGCAGAATAACTGCACTTTAGACAGTTTTTGCAAAGTAATAATAATAATCTGATGAAGGTGGCCAATAAGGTCTTTACGAACTCTAAACCCTAATAAACCAGCGAGCCGAGCCCGAGCTTTTCAGTTTAACATATTTCGATCTGCTTCCTTTTTTTTCTTTTATATAAGAAATGAAATGTGGCTGTGAAGTTCAAGCCAGGACAAATGTTTTCATTAAAGCATGTGCCTCGAGGTTTTTTGCTCTTATAATCTTTGGCACTTGATTTCAAGCCAGACTAAATTTTATTTGGCTTCTGATCAGTAGAAGAATTTGCCTTCAGCCACATAATTTACCTTTGTCACATCACAACTTTCTGTTACCACTAAAGTGTTTTATACTTTGTACACTTCTAAAGAACTTGAAAGTCGATGACTCTCCGTGTTTCTTAAGGGATCTTCAGGAATACTTCTCTGGGCTTCTTGAAGGACGTTCAAAGCTCCTCTTTGGATGTTTCTGCCTTTTTGCTGATCTCTGTCAGGATGATCTCTCACTGCTTCAGTGATTTTGAGGTCTGGGCTCTTTCACACATGGATCCATCAGACCTGATTTTCAGTCCAGTTCTTGTGTCGTTTTCATACCTCAGCCTTTGCACCACATTTCTCTTCATTAACAACGGCCTTCTGGCAGACGTGCTTCCACTGAGACGTTTCTGATGAAGGTTCGGTGAAGGATGAAGATTTTCTTCCTCTTTCTTATGGACATCGTTTCAGACACTGTAGATCAAACCTCTTCTTTTGTCCTTCACTTGTCCTCAGATTTTTAAGAACACGCTGCACGCCATGCTGAAATACTCTCAGCTAACAGCTGATCAGTTTGTTGGTGCAAAAATAGTATTTCATATTTTTTTATCGTTATTTTTGACATTTTTGACAGGAAATGGGAACAAATGATGTGTTTCTGTGACTGGCTGCTGGCAACAAGGAGCCTAAAGACGCAATTAAACCTGCTTCTTTTCTAAGTCGTCTCTTATATGTAGAGACAACACTGGGTCGTCGCTTTTTATGCTGGTCAAAGTTCAGTGGCTTAACAAGGGGAGAAAAACATTTCTGTGAAACTGGTCAGATAGAAGGACTCAACTGGGTTTCAGATTTGTCTGGCAGAAGTAAGATCGTACCAGTCAAAGTAGGAGAGAAAACATCTATATTTTAACCCTTTAAAGCCGGTCGGAGCGGGCACGCTCTGTTTTGCATAACTATTTTTAAATCCCGAAACTAATTTTAAAGCTCTGCAACCACGTGAGCTAGCGCAATAATTTTTTTTGCATATGAAACCGGAGGAGTTGTACTTACATCTTATGCCATCAGCTTGTCCTCGGT